TAGCTTATTTTAACTGGATGGCAGTTTTGGGGTGTGGATGTGACTGCTGAGGCTTCCAGAAGTACAGGGAGGTTGGGGGAGGTAGCCCATCGCGACCCTGAGAAAGCCTGGAGATTTCAGTCACATAACCCACATAACCGAGTTTTCAGCAGATTATGTCTTGGTGATGTCCGTCCTAAGATGGTGGAGTTCAGCTGGAGGCATGGCAGTAATTTTGGATTGTGGAAGCAAGTGGTTGCTGGGGACTCTGCTTGTGCGGGCACCAGGCTGGCCTGTCCCCCTCCAATTAACCTGGTCTGTTTAGCCATGTGCGGGTCTGAGGTTAACTGCAGCTTATAGCACAGCGGGTAGGGCGTTTGCCTTACAAGCGGCCAACATGGCCGACCCGAGTTCGATTCCTCCGCCCCTCTCAGAGAGCCCGGCAAGCTACTGAGAGTATTCGATATGCCAGACACAGTAACAACAAAGTCTCCAATGGAGACGTTACTGGGCCCGCTCGAGCAAATCGACGATCAACGGGAGGGCCTTATTATTATTATTATTATTTATTTGATATCTTTTTAAATTTATTTATGGGTCTCGGAAGCAAGGTTGGTAGTAGAGCTCACATGGTTGTGCTGGAGTTGGTTTGTGCCGTGCTTCCAGGAATTTTAGAGAAGTGGGAGAGGCAGCCCATCCAAACTCTGAGAAAGCCTGGAGATTTCAGTCACAAAACCCACACATCCAAATTTTCAACAGGTTAATATCTTGGCGAGTCTGTCCTGAGACTGTGGAGTCTCACTGGGGCATAGCAGCCATTATGGATTGTGGGAGCATGGGCAGGCACCAGGTCGACCCCTCTCCCCTCCCTCCTCGATTTACTGTGGTCTGTTCAGCTTTGCCTGGGTCCGGACTTTACTGTGGCTTTTGATCTCTTTCAAGATTTATTTATGGCTCTCTGAACCAAGGCCTATAAATGAGTCTGTATAACTGAGCCAAAGGTGGTTTGTGGGCACAGTTCCCACATACCTAACTTTTGACCACTTAATTTCTCAGGAAACTTGGTCCCAAATTGTTGGGGTCTGACCAAAAGCACAGCAGTAGTTTGGGGGTATTAGGAAGCCTGGAGACACCATCAGGCAGCTTATGTTCTCGTACAGTTTGACTGCTGGTGGCACCATTCCCCCACCTCCCATTCTCTTATTTTTCAGTATAGCTTTGACTGTTTCATGCTCTTTTCTGTCCACACTAATATTATTGTTACTTTTCTAGGTCCTGGAAGAATGTTGCCTGAATTTGGATGGGAATTACATTGAATTTATAAATAACTTAGGTAGGGTAGTATTTTAAGAGTATTGAGTTTGGGACACTTCTGCTTTTATGGTTCTCTTCTATTTTCTGGTCATTTAAAGTTATCATAGTATAGATCTTCAGTGTCTTTTATAAGTTGATTCCTAGGTTCTTGATGTTTTTGGATGCTATTTCAAATGTAATAGGTACTTTATGGGCTGGAGTGATAGCACAGCGGGTAGAGCTGTGCTTGCCTTACAAGCAGCTAACATGGCCGACCCGAGTTCGATTCCTCTGCCCCCTCGGAGAGCCCGGCAAGCTACCAAGAGTGTCTCGCCCGCACGGTAAAGCCTGGCAAGCTCCCCGTGGTGTATTCGATATGCCAAACACAGTGACGATTGTCACAATGGAGACATTACTGGGCCCGCTTGAGCAAATTGATGAATAACTGGAGGACAGTGACAGTGACAGGTACTTTATTGCTTTATTCTCCAATTCATTCTTTATAAGAATGCAACTGATTTTTAAAAAAATTTTATTTTCATAAAGTTGTTTACAATAATTGATTGCATTCAATATTTCAACAGCAATCCCACCACCATTACACCATCCCACCACCATTATTTCAGATTTTTATATCACTCAATCCTGCCCCACGGGCAGATGCTAGATAATTTATTTTGTATTGCTTGTTATGAATAGCATGAGATGTCGTGCAGCCTCCAAAGTGGCTGTGCATTCCTGGATTTCTAAAATTTAAAATAATTTGGGTCCGGAGAAATCTCTGCAGTCAGCGTCTTGGTTCTGAGATTCAGCTGTGAGTCTCTGAATCAAGGCCTTAATGCACTTAAATAGCACCTAGAGGCAGTTCGTGGGTGTGACTGCCAGGACCCCGTAGGGGTGTGGAGATGGGAAGGAGCTGCCTTGATTCCTTGAGGCTTAGAATTTGCAGTCACTTGTCCCACATACCTGGGGTTTTCATTGAATCCTGGAGGCTGACAGGATTCATGGGGACAGGTGAAGGGACGAAACCTGCACCCGTTTGAGGCACCCAGTGAAATTGGCCTGGTACAAGTTCCGAGGCATCTCTGCAGGAGCTACTTGGTTCTGAGATTCAGTTGTGAGTTGCAACTGATTTTTTTGTACTGACTTTGTAGCCAGTCACTTAGCTGATTTGGTTTATTGTTTCCAGAATTTTTTTGTGTGTGGACTCTTTGGGTCTTCTGTGTATATCATCATGTCATTGGCAATGAGTGAGTGTTTGAGTTCTTTTTTAATCTGGACTAATCATTCTTTTATTTTTCCTCCTGAACTTGGGCTGGAGTGGTAGCACAGTGGGTAGGGTGTTTGCCTTGCACACAGCCAACATGGCCGACCCAAGTTCGATTCCTCCGCCCCTCTCGGAGAGCCCGGCAAGCTACTGAGAGTATCTGGCCTGCATTGCAAAGCCTGGCAAGCTCCCCATGATGTTTTTGATATGCCAAACACAGTAACAAGTCTCACAATGTTACTGGGCCCGCTCGAGCAAATCGATGAACAATGGGAGGACCGTGACTGTTCCTCCTGAACTCATCCCATAGTTTTCTAGTATACTGTTCATTTCTTTTCAGACTATTTTTCACCTTCTGCTATTTCCTAGTGTTTTCCTCCTGATCATCTTGCAACTCCTCAATCTTTTGCTCAGCTTCTATTATTCTGTTCAAAGCTTATGCTGACTTTTTACATATCACTGACCATGTTTTTTGTTTCTGGCTGTAGTAGTTTTATCATTTGACTCTCACACTTGTGCTTTGCTGACTCCCTGTGCAAAGGGAGTTCCTCTGAAGCATTGAATATCCTTATCATAGAGTCCTTAAAGACACTGCTTCAGGATTTGGTGGTATTATTTATATATTATGTGATAATTGCTTATACTCATTGAGCCTGGTGGACTTTTGTATGTCGTTCTGATTTGTTGTCTAGGGTTGTTGTTCTGCTAGGGGTAAATCTTCATAGTCATCTTCGCCTAGAAAATAGGGTAAGCTGGAGATGGCTCTGTCTTGTCTGCCCTTCCTCAGATGACAGGAAGAATAACTATGAGCAGCATGTAATTGGTTGAAGAACTGTCACATGACAGCATAAGTGGCTACGAGCTTTAGGAACTGTGGTGTGAGTCAGGTCTGGGGACTGCTGGGACCTCCCTGCTAGGGAGGGGTTCCGCCTCCTGTTCCATTATAGCCTTTTTCGCCCAGTGATATCAGCTAGAGACAAGTCTCACCTGGGATTGGGGAGCAGCAAGCAGAAGGTCCAAGAAAATTCTTAAATGATGTTTATTATTGTGATTATTATGACACTTCCTGACGACATAGGTGACACTCAACTCTTATAAAGCACTGTTATTGTTTAACAGGAGTGCGTGCTAAGAATTTGTAATTTAATCCGTTCAATTTAGTTCTCTAGTACATTATTTGGTCTTTAGAAGATAATTCAAAATGCACCATAGAAAAGAGACAATAGCTTCTATGTATCTGGAATGAAGTAATTTTTAAAAATTGGAAATGAAATTTACCAACAAAGTAAAGATATGTATCATTGGGTAGTAATAACTTAAAAACTTTTGAGCAAAACTTAATTTTTATGAATTAATGAAGTACAAATGAAAGCTGTACACATACATATAGCCAGAGAAATTAGCTTTTGTACTATAGTTTCACTGTGGAATAAAAAGCCATAGTAAAGGGAGATTTTATAAATTTCTGTGATGAGAATTCCTTATTAAATTGATGAATAATACTATTTGCAATTTAAATTATACACCAGATAGAGAACTGTATATATAATATACAATACAGTATCATTTTTGTCAGAAAGAAGCCCATATATATGCACATACATATACACATAGTTATAGATTTGATACAAAAGATTGGAAAGGGCTGTATTCTCATAGTTTACCTTTGTGTAGTATAGTTGACTCTGACATGCTTTTTCTTTTCAAATTATCTTTGGTTATCATAATTACATATAATCAGATAAAATTATTATTTTTTCAATGTAATCATCTCAATATTTTTCCCCCTGGACTTTAGGAATTTCATGGTGGGCATCAGGAATGTTAGATTACTTGCTTTGCCAGTGTGAGAGACTTGGTTTGATCCCCAGCAGGAAAAGAGAGAAAAAAAAAAGGAATGCATGGGCCAGAGATAGGACTTAATGGTAGAACTCATTCTCTGCCTGTGTGTTATTCTTTATTTGAGTTCCAGCACCAAAACTTAAAAGAGGATGGTGCCACTTCTTTTTGGGGATTTGGACATCCATGAACACTCTGTGGACCCCTCCCCCCCATTGGTCATTTTTTTCAGTTCCAATGTAGCTGTGCTTGTATGGGCCCTGCACAGTGTAGAGAGTACCAGACATTTAAACTGGATGATATTTTTTTTTTTGGCTTTTTTTTGGGTCACACCCGGTGATGCACAGGGGTTACTCCTGGCTCTGCACTCAGGAATTACCCCTGGTGGTGCTCAGGGGACCATGTGGGATGCTGGGAATCGAACGTGGGTTGGCTGCATGCAAGGCAAACACCCTACCCGCTGTGCTATCACTCCAGCCCCAAACTGGATGATATTTTTCTTCCTCACTCACTGATGTCCTCTTGATGAAAAGACTTAATTTTATGAAGATCCTTTCTTTGACATATAAATTAGAAAACGGCATGCCATATTTTGAACTATTTTAAATCTTCTTTTGTTCAGGAGATAGACAAGAGAATGACAAAGAGAACCTGAATTTGGAAAACTATGGGGACCAGGAACTTCTGGAAGCCTCCAGTCAAGCCTTAGGAGAGGTACCTTCTCAGACTTCCTTTGGTGACCTCTTCAGAGAAGATGAATCAAGATGTTTTGGAGAAGAAAATCCTTCCCAAGCTCCGGAAAACCTTCAGGGGGAGGCATCAAGGGAACAGCTCTCTTCTCAGGAGAGGAATTCTGGGAGGCAGCTGGGCCTGCACTTGCCTAATTCTCATCCAGAAGAGTTCTCCATGCTGTGGCTGGGGGAGAAGAGAGAGGTCTCCCCGAAAGGGCAGCTCAGAGCGCCCATGGCCCAGAAACTCCCTACCTGCAGGGAGTGTGGAAAGACCTTCTATAGGAATTCTCAGTTGGTGTTTCATCAGAGAACTCACATTGGTGAGGCGTACTTTCAGTGCCCCACCTGCAAAAAATCTTTCCTGCGAAGTTCAGACTTTGTGAAACATCAGCGAATCCACACAGGAGAAAAGCCGTGCAAGTGCGACTACTGTGGGAAGGGGTTTAGCGACTTCTCGGGACTGCGCCATCATGAGAAAATCCACACGGGAGAGAAACCCTATAAATGTCCCATCTGTGAGAAAAGCTTTATTCAGAGATCCAACTTTAATAGACATCAGAGGGTTCACACAGGAGAGAAACCTTATAAGTGTTCTCGCTGTGGGAAAAGCTTCAGCTGGAGCTCAAGCCTGGATAAGCATCAGAGGTCCCATCTGGGAAAGAAGTCTTTTTCATAGTCCAACTTCACTGTCCGTTTCCTATTAGTTGATTCATTTAAAAGTACTTAGTTTCATCTGCAAAAATTGCATCTCTTAGAGGATTTCTTTTTTCTTTTTAATGGATTAGAGAAAATAATCTGAACATAGTTTTGGATTTGGAGGATATGTTGGCATCTGGGTTGGATTTCACACTGATTTAATTTCTATATCAGGAGAAATAAAAATCTTCATCTTTCAGCATATTACTTCTTCTGGAAGAAGCATCACATGTTGGAAAAAACATCACGTTATTGCCACTTTAGAAATGTTATCTGGGAGGAGTTTAGCTGCAATTCCTTCTCATGAGAACTGCACCGGCCCTTTGGAAATGGGATACTAGAGCCAAACTTGTTATTGAAAAGGAGTACGAGGGAGATGTGCTCGTGTGTGATCTCTTACAGGTGAACCAAGAGACTCTTGCTGAAAATAAACTTAGTTATTTTATTTGTGTCTTAAGTGTCCTCTCTATGTTGACTTATTCAAAACCATTTTCTTTTTTGTTTGTTTTTTGGGCTACACTTAGTGGTGCTTAGGGCTTACTGCTGGTCTGCACTCGGGAATCACTCCTGCTGGGGCTTGGGGGATCATTTGGGGTGCCTTGGAATCCCACCTGGGTTGGCCATGTACAAAGCAAATGCCTTGCCCACTGTGCTATAACTCTGAGCCAAGAAAAACATTGCTCTATGTCTAGGAGTGTTGGCTTATCCAGTGCTAGGACTTTATCTCAGGTAAGATTGTTCTGTCCTTTTCTCATTTACTCACATACCTTAGGTTACCAACCTCTTTTCTCTTGAGGTTCCACTTTAGGATATTACAGTCACCCAAGTGTTCTGTGCTTTAGAATTATACTTAGGGCTAGGAGAATGGCTCATATATAAATGGATATGCATTGTATAATCGAAACCCAAGCACAAAAAATTGTAAATCTACAACTGTACCTCATGGTGTTTCACTAATAATAAAAAAAATTTAAAAAAAAGGAATGGATATGGCCCTGAGTTTGATCCCCAGCACCACATGGCCCCTGAGCACTGCCAGATAAGACCCTCATGGCCACCAAGTACCACTCAACCCTGAAACATGGTGATGAGCATCACACGGAGTAGCCTTCACTTCGGAAGCAGCCCCTGTAAAAAATAGAATTATTTAAATCCTGGACATTGAATTATATACCTGGGAACATTAGGCTGGTGGGTGGAGAGGAGGGAAGAAATGATGAGGTGGAGCAGAGGTAACACAAAGGTATCAGTGGAGGGTCTGGGCACTTTGGTGGCGATAAGATTATATTACTGTATTTATCAAAAATGAGTGTCAGTTGACAACATGAGTAAAGATGGAGGCGAGTTAACATCAGATCAGTGGTGACGGGACTAGTGGTGGAGGTTTCTGGGAACTTTGTTGGTGTGGTGGTATGAAGTTACTTTGTACATCAGTACTTAAACATCATATTCCTTAATCTATAAAAACAATTCATAAAAAAGTTGTAGGTCTTAGGAAGAAATTAATGCTATTGATTTATAGTACTGTCTAGAAGTTTATTAACACACCTATGCTCCCAACTTTGACTTAAAATTTGAATCTTTCAGTATTTGTTTATTGTCTAGTGAGATTTCCATTTTGTCTCCTACTCACTTGCTTCTACTGTACTGTTATGGTTGGTATCAGGAAGAATGATGCTACTGAGAAGGACAATGCTGGAAACAGGTTAACTTACAGGCAAGAAACTTCAAACAGTGGCAAACAAAGGATGAAGTATGGTAGTGATCTATAAGAGAACAGATAAAAATTCAATTTGAACGTTTGGGTTTCAGAAGGAATTTGTTAAGTTTCTCATAGCACAAAGATGAGAAGAGACCCTTCTTTGGTGGATGCAGGAAGCAGGAAGATCAGATTTTACTTAACCAACAAGCCTCCCTGTAGAATTCATTAAAACTCATTTAAACTTTGGAATTGGGGGAAAAAAAAACCCCAAAACTGGAACTCTTTATCTTTAGGCTTCTATCAAAAATTTTTTCTACAGAGGAAAATACAGAAAACTTTCTGGTTGAAGTTTCAGATCAAAGTTCCTCTTTGCATCCCTCTTAAATGATCTGAGGCATGAGTATATGGACATATATACAAGTTCATGGTTTTGTAGCGCACAGTTAATGTCCTCAGCAGATAGTAGATGTTAGACAGCCCTAGATAATTTATTGGATAATTGAATTAATAAAGGATCATTGATCATAAAGATAACTATTATATCTTATTCTCTTAGAATAGTGATCAGCAAATTTTGGTGTGACTTTTCATTTGTAAATAAATTCTTATTAGACCACAGTCACATTTGTTTATGATTATTTCTGATTATAGCTTTACTGTTACAAAGCTGAGTAGTTGCAGTGCACATTTGCAAGCCTTTATCATTTACCACTTGACACCTGGTTGAGATTAATGGTTATAAATTGTATTTTCTGTCTGAATCACCTGGGAGCTTGTTTAAAATGCAGACCCTGATTCCTAGGTGCTGCTTATATTTTGTCCACTTAAAGCAAGAACATTGAATAAAGTGGTGTGAAACATGGAGCACTTTAAGATCAGGGATTCATTGTGGTCCATTTTTTTCAATCTTTTCATATTTATTTATTTTTGACTTCTAACTTGGTGCCCCCCCCCTTTTTTAAAAATTTTATTGGGGGCTGGAGTGATAGCACAGTGGGTAGGGCGTTTGCCTTGCACGCAGTCGACATGGCTGACCCGAGTTCGATTCCTCCACCCCTTGGAGAGACCGGCAAGCTACCGAGAGTATCTCGCCCGCATGTCAAAGCCTGGCAAGCTACCCATAATATATTCGATATGCCAAACACAGTAACAACAAGTCTCACAATGTTACTGGGCCCACTCGAGCAAATCGATGAACAACGGGAGGACAGTGACAGTGACAGAATTTTATTGGATCACCGTGAGATAGTTACAACTTCATAATTATGATTCTGTAGCTTTCATAGCGTGGAAGAATAAAAAAAAACAGTAGAAGAGGAAAATCGCTTTAATTAGGAAACAGTGTTTTGTATACTCAATCTTGGTTCTTGAGAATGGTGAGTGCTTATGATTTATCATCTGTGAACTTACACCCATTTGTTTATGCAGCCTCAGCTAATATTTTACTACTGAATTCTGCAGGTAGCTATATTTGGAGAAGCAAGGCAACTCCGGCTAGAACCCACTTAGATGGGTTCTCCTTAGTCTTCAGGTTGAAAGTCCATATATAGGTGGGTCCCCGTTGACAAGTCTTGTACACAGGACAGGGGTAGACACTGCGGCGGTCTTGTTTGTCCGCAGGAATGGCCTTGATGTACATCACAGGCATGGGTGGGGTCAAATCCTTCAGTTTGGCCTCTGAGATGATCCCGGCCTGAGGGCAAGAGCACACAAACAACTGTGGTTAAACCGGGCAGTCCTGCCAGCCTTGCTTCTGTAAAAATATCAGAGGAAGGAAGAACCAGGCTATTGTGTCTATTTATAGGTCCTCTGAAGAACCTGTGGTGTAATGCATTTGATAGATGCAAAGCTCTACCATTTTCAGCTACATCTCTCCTTAAAGAAGAGTCTGGAAGCATTTATCATATCAGTAAAATTATCAAATCAATATGCTGGACCTAAAATTTCTGCTACGTTCCTCTTTTTATTTATTTTGTAAATATAATGCCTGCAGCTATTTGCCAGGTGTCTTACTTGGTGTTGGTATTTTAAAGGTACTGCCTCAAGTATTAGGGAAGAAGGCAGTTGGGATAAAGAAGGAACCACTATGACAAAGATAGTTGGAAATGATCACTTGGATATGAACTGCTTGCTGAAAAGAGGTAAAGGAACAAGTATGATAGCCTCTTAGTACCTGTATTGCAAACCATAATGCCCCAAAGGGGGGAAACGGTGGGGGGGGGAGAAAGGTGTGTGTGTGTGTGTGTGTGTGTGTGTGTGAGAGAGAGAGAGAGAGAGAGAGAGAGAGAGAGAGAGAGAGAGAGAAGAAGAAGAAGGAGGAGGAGGAGGAGGAAGAGGAAGGGATGAGAGGGGAGAGAGGAGGGGAGAGGGAGGTCCCTGCCCTCCTGTAGAGGAAACTGGGAGAGGAGGGGAGAGGGAGGTCCCTGCCCTGCTGTAGAGGAGACTGGGAGGAAGGTGGTAGGAGGGAAACTGGGGACGTTGGTGGTAGGAAGTATGCACTAGTGGAGTGTTAGAACACTGCATGGTGAAACCTGACTATACACAGTTTTGTAACTGTCTCACAATGATTCAATTAAGTAAGTAAAATAAATATATGTGGGTAAGACATGGTCCCTGCCAGCCAATGCTAGAATTTCACTTTCATTATTGATCTGCTCCATTTTATAAGTAACATTCACCCTTGAGGATATATCTGAGCTTTACAGCAGAGGAACTTAGGTTCTGATTTTACTTGATTAATTTTGTTTGTCTTTGAGTCATACCCAGCAGTGCTCGGTTGAGCTTTCCTCCCCACCCCAACCAGGGCTCTGGCAGCCAAAGACCTCCAGGACCAGCCACCACCATGCTGAGACCACTCTCCGCACACATGAAGGTACTGGCAGAGGGACAGAGTCACACGGGTTCCGGGGCCGAGATCTCCAAGCCTACTCGGATTTGGGCCAAGCATCCTCCACCCAGATCTTCCAAATTCCAGTAGGCGGGGGTCACACCCACCGACTGGCCCCCTGGCGCCGTGTAATCCCATCAATGGCCAAGACTCAGAGACTATAAAAACCAGCTCCCGGAACTGCGCGGCCGTATTTGCGGCCGTGCGACATCCTATTATGACATCTTATTATCTCATTCCTACTTTGGACAAACTGGCAGTCTACCGAATGTAGCCTGTCCACACGGCAGAGTCTGGCAAACTCCCAGTGGCGTACCCAATATGCCAAATACCAGTAACAATGATGGGTCTCGTTCTCCTAAAGAGCCTTGAATATAATCTCAGGGCTAGGATGAAGGAGACGTTACTGGGGCCTGCTTGAGACAATCGACGATTAACAGGATGATTTGTGATTTGTGATTTTATACATGCGCGCGAGGGAGATAATTCTGTACCTGTCCTTCTGTCTGACTTCACTCAGCATGATACACTCCCGATCCATTCACACAGCAGCAAATTGCATGATTTCATCTTCATTTGGGCTGGAGCGATAGCACAGTGGTAGGGCATTTGCCTTGCACGCAGCCAACCTGGCTGACTTGAGTTCGATTCCTCTGCCCCTCTTGGAGAGCCCAGCAAGCTACCGAGAGTATCTCGCCCACACGGCAGAGCCTGGCAAGCTACCCGTGATGTATTTGATATGCCAAACACAGTAACAACAAAAGTCTCCAATGGAGATGTTACTGGGCCCGTTCGAGCAAATCGATGAACAGGAGGACAGTGACGGTGACATCTTCATTTGAGAGCTGAGCAGTATTGCGTTGTGTGTATGTACCAGTTTATTTTTATAATGTGCCATTCTTATTCCCCTGTTACTTAACTGTATAGTTCTCAAATCATTGACTTAGTGGTTGCCCTGATGATTATAACTAATACCTTTGTTGTTGTTGTGTTTGGGCCAAACACAGCAATGTTCAGGGCTTATTCCTAGCCCTGTACTCAGGAGGCACAAAGGATCACCTGGTGTGCTGGGGATCGAACCTGGGTTCCCCACGTGCAAGGCAAGTGCTCTACTTGCTCCATTGTTGCTCTATGCCAAATCAGCATCTTAATATAAAGTCTCCTTCTGGGGACCAGAGTGATAGTGCAGTGGGTAGCCAGGAGTAAGCACTGAGCATGCAGGTGTGTGTAACTCCCCTTGCCATTAAAAGATATTTAAAAATATACTTTCAATTTGCAATAACTTAATTTTTTAAATATATAAAATATTTACTTATATGGGGCTGAAGCAATAGCACAGTGGGTAGGGCATTTGCCTTGCACACAGCCAACATGGCCAACCCGAGTTCGATTCCTCTGCCCCTCTCGGAGAGCCTGGCAAGCTACCGAGAGTATCTCGCCTGCACGGCAGAGCCTGGCAAACTATCTGTGACGTATTCAATATGCCAAACACAGTAACAACAAAGTCTCCAATGGAGACGTTACTGGGCCCGCTCGAGCAAATCAATGAACAACGGGAGGACCGTGACTGTGATTTACTTATATATTATTCATTCGTACTTTTATCTGAACAATAGCACAGCAGTAGGGTGTTTGCCTTGCACGCAGCCATCTTGGCTGAGCCGGGTTTGATTCCTCCACCCCTCTTGGAGAGCCCGGCAAGCTACTGAGAGTATCTCGCCCACACGACAAAGCCTGGCAAGCTACCCGTGACGTATTCAATATGCCAGACACAGTAACAACAAGTCTCATGATGGAGACATTACTGGGCCGGCTTGAGCAAATTGATGAACAATGGGAGGACCGTGCTACCATGCTACTTTTATCTGAAATCTTTTATTATATAAATAAATCTATATAATTTTGTGTATGAACATGTTTTTTGTTATTGTGAGTAGCACATTTATAATTAGTGCTGTACACAATTTAAATCAGAATTTTAAAAAATTGAAACAAAAATACATTTATAACACTTTTTTAATATACATATATAGTTTGCTTTTTTGGTAATTTTTTCTACATGAACTTGGGTACCATATGAGTGTTTTGCTACTGAATATTTTTTTTCTCTTGCTACTTTTAAGTTTTTGAGTTTTGGTCCACATTCTGTGGTGCTCAGGGCTTACTCCGGCTCTGCATTCAGAGATCACTCTTGGCACAGCTCAGGTGCTGGGGGCTGAACCTTGGTTGGCCTCAAGTGAGACAACAGCCCTACTTGCATACTGTCACTCTGGCCCCATTTCTTGCTTTCTTTCAAAAATCTCTTTTTGTCCTTAACTTTCAACAGCTTAATTATAACAGGTCTAAGTATGACTCAGATCTTTTGAATTCCTTGATTAAAGTTCCACCTCAAATGCACTCTTTAATTTTAGATTTTCATTTAAAAATATCTTTACCTCTTTATTAATATCTCTTTTGGTGAGATATTTTACTTTTTTTTGACATATTTTACTTATTTTTGCTTAGTTCTTTGGATATACTTAAAATGGCCAGTTTTAGTCTTTGTCTAAATATCCAACTTCTTCAGTTTCTGTATTGTTTTTTTCTTCTTGGCATGAGTCCATTTGGTTTCTTCTCATTTCTCATATATTTTGGTTTAAATTTATAAATTTAAAGTGATGTGGCAGCTCTGGTAATCATAAAAATCAGACTTTTTCTGTTTATTTAGTAACCTTGGTGAACTTGTTTTGTAAATCTTTGTCATGTATGGCTACTGAAGTGGTCAGCAAATAATTTCCTGAGGGTCTCTGTGTGTGTGTTGGACAAGTTCCCAGCCAGATCATTGAAAACTTGCCCTAGCCTTTATTTTCTATCTGTGCAAGTCTCAAGTTCAACTTCAGGTGAGAACTGAGATTTTTTAGGTCTTTCTTTGTCTTTTCTGTTTCTGGGCCACACCTAATGGCAGAGGGGGTGCTGATACTCTGTTTATGGAGTGGCCACTGTGATTCTTGGGGAAGTGGATGTGGTTTCAGAACCTGGGCTCAGCCACATGCAAGGCAGTATCCTCGGATGCCTGTGCTAGTGCTCAGGTACCTACTTTGATCTTTCTCTAAGATCTTTTTCGTGAGTATAGCTCAGCACATGGGCATGGCCATTTAGGGTTCCAGACCTTGAAGATTTCAAAGTCCCTTCCTTCTAAACATCTTACCATCTTACCTTTCTTGGCTTGTTTTCTCTCACACACTGGCCCTCCTAGGGTTAGTTCCTGGCACCCTAGTGCCCCTGAACACAAAGCCAGGAAGAAGCCTTATGAGCACAGCTAGAAGTGGCCAGAAACATTCAGCATCTCATCTCAAACTTATTCTTTTAGAAAACTTTTAATTAATATTTTATTTATTATAGTATATATTGTGTCAGGTAAACTAGAACATTATTTCAGCAAAAGATTCTGGGGTAAAGGACATTGTTACAGGTGAATTTCAGTTTAGGTCCAGTAAGAACGTAAGTGACCGGGGTCTTCCAGGGGACCACTGGACAGGGAAATAATGACAATTTATTTGAAATGGTACTTCAAAACTACTAAATCCCTACTGTTCCCTCTTGTAGCTGTTACTGGCTTAATTGTTTTAAATTATTTTTTAAAACAGTTTTATTATAGTTTACAGTATTTGAATTATGTACTTGGTTGTAATATTTGATTTTTACTTTTGACATACGTAGTCATTGCATCATCACCAAATTCATTACTGACTCTCCACCACTGTCTTTTTTTAAAAAAAATTAGGAGCCAGAGTGATAAATATAGCCTTGCATGTGACTGACTGGGCTCAATCCCCAGTACTCCATAGTGTCCCTCAGCCTCACTATGAATGATCCCTGAGCACAGAGATAGGAGTAATCTGTGAGCACCACCACATGTGGCTCCCGAAAAAAAAAATTTCTCTAGGTCATGTTGGCAATAGTGTTGACATTTATGATTTTGGTATGGAGGGTTGCCCCACCTTTTCACCACCAGTTTCCAAGACCCTCCACCAATGCCTGTGTATTACTTATAGGCACCATCCTCACTCCCTCGACCCTAATCTCAATTCTGTAATCCAGTACCTAGGGTTTTTTTAAAAAATCAATTAATATTGTCTATACCCTTTTGTTTTGTTTCTCTGTATGCCACAAATGAGTGAAAATATCTAGTACTTGTCCTCCCTCTGACTTATTTTACTCAACATGGTATACTTCAATTTTATCTAAGTTGCATTGAATTGAATGATTCATTTTTTCATGTGATCGCATAGTATTCTATTTTGTCTATATACCACAACTTCTTTTCCCGTCATCTGTCATTGGATATTTGGGTTCTTTCCATATTCTGACTATTGTACTAAATGATGCAATGAACAAAGTTTGTATATATCTTTTCAAAGTTTTGTTTTTGTATGTTGGGGATAGATGCCAAGAAGTTGAACTATAAAGCTCAGCAACAAGGAAACCAATAGCTCCATCAAGAAATGGGGAGAATTGGGACAAGGTAAATAGTACAGATGGCAGGGCAGTTGCCTTGTTTACAGAAATTACTATGCTTTAAGGGGAGAGATCGAACCGGGCTAGGGAAAAGGGAAGAGAAGGAACGATTTTGGGGAAAAGGGAGAAATAATGATGCTGTAAATAAGGAAGAAATATTGACACTGTAAAGGGGAAGAGATCTAACTATGTATAAGGAAATACACTGTAAAGGAGGAGAAATCTTAACTATGCTGGAGAAGAAATAACTACACTGTAGGAGAGGAGGAAAATGAAGCTGTTAGGATGAAGATGAGAATGAAATAAATGGTCCCTGATTACCAACCAGCCTGGGGCCCAGTTCCTCTGTTTCCCTATTCTTCCGTTCTTCAGTCCATCGCCATGGGCTGGCCAGTGGAACAGTTCTCGGCCACCGAACGCTCGAGTCTCGCACCCTATGCTTTTTGAAACTCACACCTTACACATGGTTGGCCTGAGTCCAATCCCTGGCATCCCATATGGTCCCATCCCTGGCATCTCATATGGTCCTCCAGACACCGCCAAGTGTAATTCCTTAGTGCAGAGCCAGGAGTAAGACCTGAGCATCTCTGGGTGAACCCCTCCCCCCAAAAAAACAAAAAAGGACAACAACAAAAAAAATTGGGAGCAGAGATGAACAGACTTACCGTGAAGAGGACCTGTGATGGCCAGTAAGCATATGAAAAAGAAACTTATCAGGAAAATGCAAATCTAAAGGACAATAAGGCTTCAATTCATACCAGTGGAATGGCATCTATACATATATATGTGTGTATGTGTGTGTATAGAGAGTGTGTGGAGAGAGATATTATGGAATCACTGTGAGATCTTTACAAAGCTGTTCATAGTTTGGTTTCAGTTATACGATATTCCAACAGTCATTCCTCCACCAGCATACATTTCTCTACCTTTTCTTTGGGGCATTGTGGTTTTCAGTATAGATATGGAAAGGTTATCCGGCATATCCCTTTACATACTTTTAATACTCAGTACTTGTCCAGTATGATCATTTCCAACTATTATTGTCATCCTGGCCCCTTCTCTGTCTTACCTACCGTATGCTCCCCCCCCCCCCCAAACACACACATGTGTGGTTGATTCCAACCTGTGACCAATCCTCCTAGATCCTGTTTTCTCTGGCTGTGGATATGTTTTTTAATATGTATATACCACAGATGAATGCAATCATTCTATATATGTCCCTTTTTTCTGACTCATTTCACTCAGCATAATACTCTCCATGTCTATCTATTTTTAGATACATTTCATGATTTCATTTTTCCTAGCAGCTGCTTAGTATTCCGTTGTGTAGATATTCCATAGTTTTGTTATCCAGTCATCTGTTCTCAGGCACTCAAGGTTGTTTCTGGATTCTGGCTATTGTCAATAGTGCTGCAATGGACATAGGGGTGCAGATGGTGTTTCTACTGTGTGCTTTTGGGACTCCAGAGTATATTCTCAGAAATGTTATTTCTGGGCCAAATGGGAGCTCAATTTCTAGTTTTTTTTTAGGAAGGTCCATTTTGTTTTCCAAAAAGGCTAGACCAGTTGGCATTCCCAACAAAGTGAAGGAGATTCCCTTTCTCCCCTCGTCTGTGCCAGCACTGGTTGTTCTTACTCTTTTGGATTCTCTCTGTCTCTGTCTGTCTCTGTCTCTGTCTGTCTGCCTGTCTGGCTGCCTCTCTCTCTCTCTCTCTCTCTCTCTCTCTCTCTCTCTCTCTCTCTCTCTCTCTCTCTCTCTTGTATTTGGTTATCCCCACAGAGGATGTTTGTGGTTCATCCCAGGAATTTACCTGTGCATCCCAGCGAGCACCTTCCATAAAGAGACCATGGACATAAGCGCCTTCCCGAGGAGGGCTTCTGAAATCTTCTTTGTTCTTCTTTGTCACATCACATTGCAGGGTCATCTGGTCTAGTGGCCACTCATTCCTGCGAGCCATGGACTGCATGATGGCAGTCAGAAAGGATTGAGGGTTGAAAAAGCCAGTCAGCCATACGGTAGAGGGCATGGCAAAGTCTCCTGTCCAAGTTTCCAATTCCTTGATTCTGTTGAGAAGGTCCAAAAACCAGGTGGCCAACCCTGCTGTAGAGGGATAAGCACGCCTGACCCAGGAGCTCGGCACCGTATCCAAGAACAGAGCATTCTGTAAGTTCTCCATGTCACTCGTCATGGTCAGCTCTCCCTGAAGACAAAGAAAGGAAAATTAGAGGAACAAGACCCTGGAAACAATGGATTATGAGTATTTCTGGCTCTTGTCATTCAGAAAGGCAGCAGATTACTCAGGAGTAGAGACAATGACTGTCCCTGTGTAGCAGATAATTATCAGGGTCTGCCTCATATAGGATGGCCACTTCAACTCTTCTTGCTCCAGTGGTATCAGGACTAACAGTATTTTGGTTGTACTATGGTTCTCAAATCACCTGCAGTTTTCCAAATAATCCAACCATACCCTGATGCTTGAGCATCACAGTTCCTATCCAGACTTTGCAGTATCCCTTCAGATTTGCAGAAACAGAGGAAGGGAAAAGCTAGATTTATATTCTCTTAAATAAATAACTTGTCCTCCTCCTCCTGCTCCTTCCTCTCCTCCTCTAACTTATTCTGGCTTTGTGTTCAAGGATCACTCCTGATATGCCTTGGAGGGACGTATGGAGTGGCAAGGATTGAGCCCAGGTAGGAAAGCCATTTTCATTTTTTTTTTTTTTTTGCTTTTTGGGTCACACCTGGAAATGCTCAGGGGTTACTCCTGGCTTTCCACTCAGGAATCACTCCTGGCGGTGCTCGGGGGATCATATGGGATGCTGGGAATTGAACCTAGGTCAGCTGGTGCAAGGCAAACACCCTACCTGCTGTGCTATTGCTCCAGCCCCACCATTTTCATTTTTTAATTTATTATTTTGTGGTGCAGGTATTTATTTTAAAATTTTGATTTTTAATTAAAGTTATTGAATTTTTAAATTCCAATATCATACCAATCACCCTCCCTTTCCCAAAGACCCCAGGACCCCTCCCTCTAAAGCCTTTGACTCACTTGTGTGAATCAGTTCTCACAATATGTTGCATTTGGATGACCTCTATTGCTACCTTGATGTGTATCTTTAAGTCCCATATGTGAAGAGATTGTTCTGTATGTATCTGTGATGAACTTCACTCAACATAATGTCCTCTGGTTTTATCCATGTTGCTGCAAATGCACATTTGTTCCTTCTTAAGCTGCATAGTATTCCATTGTGGTATAGATCCCACTATTTCTTAATCCATTCCCCTTAGTTTAGGCATTTGGGTTGCTGCCACACCTTGGCTAAGTACGGCAATGAACATAGTTGTGTTAATATAAATCCTTTCAAATTAATATTTTTGTGTTTTGGGGATAGATGCCAAGAAGTGGTATTGCTAGGTCATATATGTTTTTTTTTTATACAGATATCGATATTTCTTTCTATAAAGACTGAGCTGGATGACAGTCCCACCAACAGTGAACGAGGGTTCCTTTCTCATCAAGACCCCTCCAAGGCTATTTCCAGACTTTGGGATCTGTGCCCTTTCCACGGGTGTGAGATGGTATTTCATTGCTCTTTAGTTTGCATTTCCCTAGTCATGAGTGATGATGGCACATTTACATCTGCCTGTTGGCCATCCATGTGTCTTCTTTGGGGGAAATGTGGATGAGGTTGTTCAATTTTTGACGAAGCACTGGTAAATTATTTTTTCTGGAAAATTGTTTATATTTTATTTACCAAATTTTTGATTGAGTCATTGTGAATTACAAAGTTATTCATCATTTAGTTTGAGGTGAACAATGTTTCAACACCAATTCCTTCATCGACATTCATTCCCTCCACCAGTGTCCCTGGTTTCTACCTTGCCTGCCTCTATGGCAGGCACTTTTCCCTTTTTCCCCTTTAGGCCCTGTGGTTTACAATACTGTTACACGTTAACATATTTGTAGCATGTTAAGTTTTCATGCATGTCACTTTATGTCCTTTAAGTACCCAGTCCTATTTCAGAGTGACCACTTCCCTGTATTGTTGTAGGGGTCCCTTTGCCTGCCCTGCTCCTCTCTCCCCTGTAAGCTTCCTTCTAAGAACCAGTTCTCTTGCTCTTTGGGTGTTAGTTATTTTCCTTTTATGTTCCTTTATATTCTGCATATGCGTGAGATCATTCCATGTCTATCCCTCTCCCTCTGACTCAGCTTCATATTAATCCGGGTATCAGCAAAGTGCATGACTTCATGTTTTCAATTGAGTATTATTTCATGGTGTTTATGTCACTGTCACTGTCCTCCCATTGTTCATCGATTTGCTCGAGTGGGCCCAGTAACATTGTAAGACTTGTGACTGTGTTTTGCATATCGAATATGTCACAGGGAGCTTGCCAGGCTTTGCTGTACGGGCAAGATACTCTCGGTAGCTTGCCGGGCTCTCTGAGAGGGGCAGAAAAATTGAACTCAGGTCGGCCGTTTCGGCCATGTGCAAGGCAAATGCTCTTCTACCCACTGTACGATAGCTTATTTATCTAGTCATCTTTTTCTGGGACTTGGGTTGTTTACAGATTTTGGCTATTGTGAAAGTGTTACAGTGCACATAGAAATGCAGATGGCTTTTCTTGCAGTTTGTTTTGGGGCTCTGGGTGTATATTCCAAGGAGGGAAATTGCTGGGTCATATGGAAACTCACTCCTAGTTTTTTGAAGCTCGGTTCTGAGTTTTTTTGAGCATTGTTCACATTGTCTTCAGAAGGGCTGGACAGGTTGACATTTCTACCAGCAGAGAATGAGTGTCCTTTATCCCCTGCTTCCAACATAATACTGATTGCTGTTCTTTTTGGTGAGTTCCAGTCTTTGTGAGGTAGGGTGATATCTCATTACTGTTTTGATTTGCATTTCCCTGATGATTAGTGATGCAGAGAATGTTTCTTATGTGTCTTTTGGCTGTTTATATTTCTTTTTTGAGGAAGTTTTTGTTCATCTTTTCTCCCCGTTTTTGATGGAGCTGGATTTTTTTTTTGTGAAGTTCCACCAGCACTGGTAAATTTTAGCAAGAAAAAAACCAGCCCATCAAAAAATGAGGAGAGGAGATGAACAATTTTTTTCAAAGAAGACATACAGATTGTCAAGAGGTATATAAAAAATGCTCTGCATCCTTTTCATCAGGGAAATCCTTTATAATTTTTATTGTGAGCATATGTTTTGCTTCTACTGGTTATAAAGCCCACAGTGAATTTTATTATTATTCTATAAAGTCATATTTTGGGAGATATACACTCGGCTGTGCTCAGGGATTACTCCTGGCTCCTTATTATCCCTCTTGTCCTGACTAACACAACTCAACATGATATTACCAGAGCCATCTACATAGCAGAAAATTGAATGTTTTTGGGCCCTTGACTGAGCGAAACAGACTGTTATGTGGAACTCTATATTCTGTGAGCTGATATGGTTTGGGTATAGATAACCTGTACCTAGTCACCTCCCCTGGCTAAATTCAGCACTTTCACTGTGTTTCCTGGCTTGTTATATACAGGGACCATTTCTGAAAACATTGAAGTTTATATTGCATTCATCTGGGGAACCTAAAGTAACAAAATAGGAGACTAACCCCCAAGAATAGCAGAGTACGAGGTTTTAAGTACCAGGAGGTTTACTCCATGCCTTGGAGGCCAGCTGCACATGCTGGGGGAAAAGGCAGTTCAGATAGAGAAGGAAGCAGCAAAGAAAGGGTATTTAAGGATCCTCCCAGGATGGGAGATGCGTGCTGAGAGAAGACTCTAGACCGAACATGATTGCCACTCAATCCCTCTTTTGCAAACCACAGCACCCAAAAGGAGAGAGAGAACAAGGGGGAATGCCCTGCCAAAGAGGCAGGGTGGGATGGGGGATGGGGATGGGGGGTGGGAGGGATACTGGGACCTGTGGTGGTGGAAAATGGGCACTGGTGGAGGAATGGGTATTCGAACATTGTGTAACTGAAACCCAAACACAAAAAATTGTAAATCGACAACTGTACCTCATGGTGTTTCACTAATAAAAATCTAAATAAAGAAAAAAAATTTTGTTGCAAGAGGTTTAATGCTGTATTTATGATGAAATGATATGCAATGCATAGATTCTTAAACTTACTTGGGCATAATACTCCTTTTCAGAAAAAAAAAATGGTGTCCACTTTGAAATCTACCTTTTACAAGGAAACAGAAAGGAACCCCCTGTCCCAGCCCCCTTTGTACTGAGGCTGCTGCTCCCCCTAGCCGTGCTCCAGCGGCCACCCCTCCCCAGGGCAGGGACTGAAGCAACTGCATGCTTTCATCAACATTGAGTTAGGGCCCAGAGAATATTTTATAAGAATATACATGGTGGGTGTTTAATGCCAAGAGTGAGCTCTGTTATGAACGAGGAACTTTGGGTGACATATCAAAATAGTGTCATTAATTGTGAGAGATGTCCCCCTCTGGCTGTGTAGTGTTGATTATGGAAAGGCTGTGAAAAAGAGGACAGGGAACAGATTGAAAATTTCTACACTCTCCTCTTAATTTGCTGTGAAACTAACACTGCTCTCAATAAAATCTTAAAATAAAAATATACATGAATACTTAATTTTTAACACCCTTCAAAAATATGAAATCATTTTGATAGCATTGGAACATAAAATGTGTAGCTGGGCTGAAAAAACTCACACATCTGCTTTTAATATGATTATAATTTATTCTGACAATGATTTTGCATTTATTAATTGAATATGAAAGTATGGAACCTTAAGGAATGCATTTAAGTTTTTGTCAGTTTGAGAGTGAAGCAGGAACAATCTGTGAAAGAAGAAATTATTTACTTGGTTAGTTACATTCTAAGTCTGGATCAAGGTGAATTCCCATGACTTATTTCAAGGGGTGATGTGGGGGGCTGAGATAAATAAGAGCAAAACCCACGTCAGTTCTCTTTGGTATAAGATGTATCCCTTTCTAAAAAGAAGAATATATCTATACTCTTTGATGACATTTCCTGAAAGGTATTTGGAAAAAGTTAGTTCCCTAAGATGATAATTTTTCATATTGGTGGGAGCTGGTGAGGGCAAACCAGAGGTTTCTGTTGGCCAGAATGGTCCCTTCTCAATGCTCGGGCTCTTCTGCAGCAGAGAAAGCTTATGTTTTAAAGCCAAATTTCTCAACTCCTCCAGCCTGTGTTGCCTATAATACCTATTAATATTTGTACTTATTTACTCTTAGGTGGTGAACAAATGGAAACCTAAAAGAAAATACTGAGTCCCTCTCTAAGGAAATGGTGGACTTCAGTGCTCGGTGGTAGACTTCACTTCATGCAAGCGTCACAGGGAACCTGGGAGCAAAGGCTGAGGTTGCCTTGTTTATTAAAGTAACGGTCTGTGTGGCTCTGGCTCTATTCATCCATATGAATATCGTCATAATATTTATTTGGTCTAGTATAGTGCAAAACACCTATTTTGCCTGCAGGCATTTATTTCATCAAGTAGTGAGTTGTTAGAAGTTCAGACTTATAGATTCCACCCAGACCTTAGAATTCCATCTTTCAGGTGCCCAGGATCGTCATCACAGAAAGGCAGCAGAGGCTCTGAGGCACCAGCGTCCAGAACGAGAACTGTCGCCAGAATTCTATCCAGAGAATCAACAGCAGTGAAGTGCTTCCTTCTCCAAGAATTGCAGGCTGCACTCTTCCCTTCCTCCTCTCCCGTCTCCTTTCCTTCCCTCCTTTTCCTTTTTCTTTCTTTTCCATGTAAGTAAAACCCTGAAAACCCTCAGCGGGGCCCTTAGCTCTGGCGCATGCATACTTAGTCTCCTGGGGACCCATCTCTCTGGCATCTTTTTCCCTATTTTCACTTCTGTCAATTCAGCTTGACGTTTTCCATAACTATAAAACTTGCCCTTCTCTGAAGTCTACTGCTGCACTGTGCACCTATATTTTTCTGTGAATATATTTGCCCAATTCTCTCCTATCTGCTTGCCTTGTTTGCTTTATAAATTTGATTCATGCTCCAGGATTACCTGTTTGCTGCTTAAAAATTTGGCTCTCCAGAATCCTACCCCCAGAAGTTTGTGGGTCTGGAATATGGGAGGTGGGAATATGTATTGTGATCACAGCCCAACAGAGTCATATGGCCAGATTAGTCTTGAGACCTGTTTTTTTTGGAGGGGGGGGAAATGGCATGTTTATTTTTAGGGGATTTCAGTTTTCTAAAGCAGTAACCAGATTGTTTCCAGAACATTCGTACCATTTCCTACTCTTCCAGTGGCATATGTGGGTCCTGTTCCACATCCTCACAGCATTTGTGTTGCCCCTGTCTTTCCCATACCTGTGCTTCCAGCCTGCTTCGTATGCATGAGACCTGAGTTTTGTCTTTGATTTTGAAATTTTGACTTAAGGTTTCATATTCAAACTAAAAATATTTTTTCTGTGTCTTTAAATAGGGCTGGAGCGATAGCACAGCGAGTAGGGCATTTGCCTTGCACACAGCCGACCTGGGTTTGATTCCTCTGCCCCTCTCGGAGAGCCTTGCAAGCTACCGAGAATATCCCACCTGCACTGCAGAGCCTGGCAAACTCCCTGTGGCGTATTCAGTATGCCAAAAAGAGTAACAACAAGTCTCACTTCGTGTTCCTGGAGTGAGAAGACGCCATTGGCCTATACTAGCATGTGACAGGGATGAATGGAGACATTACTGCCTGCTCAAGCAAATCAATGAACAACACGACAACAGTGCTACAGTTACTTTAACACCATGCCTTACAAAGTTGTTCGTGATGCGTTTGTTGCAGGCATTGAATATTCCAACCCCAGTTCCACCTCCTCTGTGACCTTCTCGTCACCATTTCCCCCATTGTTCTAAGCACCCCTCAAGCCTGCCCTCCATAGCAGGCCCAAACTAATTTATTTTATATTGGTTGTTACCACTAAATGGCTAATGCAATTATCAAAAGATTCTTTAGTAAAAGAAAAAAATTGTGAAAATTGTTACATCTCACCATAAGGCCATTAAGTCCTGGTCTGAGTGTTTACTAAGCTGTTGTTGCTAGCTGAGGTTTCTGTGTTAATGATGTTGTGAATTGAGTGTAGTTGGTGTCTGTTACTTTTCCATCCAGTCTGGTTGTGCTACTGGGATGTTAGTATTGTAGTATTTGGGAGGTGTAGCCACATTTATGGCCAGGTGCTCCAGAAATTTTGGAATATTTAACTGGGCCAGTCCCACTGTGAAAAAGCTCAGAGTTTAAATTTTGTATTTGATTCAGTTACAAGTGGTTTACAATTCAGAAAGATCAAAATTGTCACTCTTCAACAAAACAAAACAAAACAAAACAGAACCTGTCACTCTTCAACCTCCTCTTTCTCTTATTGAAACTCACTTTTCATTTCCCTTTCTCCAACAAAGTGTGGAGAAAAGAAGTATTAGCAGTTAAAAATTCCCTAACCTAGACCTTTCAAACAGTTTCATAGTTTCTATATGACTCTATGGGAAGAAATTCTTAGCTTTTCTCCGCCCCCCTCCTTCCCACTCTGGAGTCACGAATCAGAGCCAGACGTCAGACATGAATGCATGTCACACCCCTGGGACTCAGGGCCTATCAGAGTTCTTCACTGTCAGTTACAAAACTGACTTCTCAACTTTATTTTGTCTGTGCTTACAGTCTCTTAATTAATGTGACAATAATAATTACATTTTTTTAGCTTATAGAAATGAAAGGCAGCAAGACCTTTCATTTATTTGGCATCCAGGTGAACAGTAATAAATGATCATTGGGCTTTATGTTATACATTTGATGTGATTATGTTGGCTGAATAAAGTAAACTTATTTAAATAATTGATAGTAGAAATTGTGAGCTTTTTAACTGTCCAAGAAAAGCATATGAGATCGTGTGATTCCTGGCTCACCTAGACAACCATGAGGTTGTAGAAGATTTAAATTTCACTATTAGGGCAATAGCAATACATATCATCTAATAATTCTGGGTGCTTACCAGTGCTACACATTGTTTTAAAGATTCTGTGTAAATAATTTCACTTAATTTTTCTAAATCCCTCTGAAGTAGGATTATTCTTTCTATATTATGGGTGAAGAAACTGACACAATTAGAATTAAGTCCCTTTATTTATTTATTTATTTATTTCTGCAGTGCTAGGAATCAAACCCAGGGCTTCAACAGATGTGAGACATTACTGCACTGCATCCTGACCTTGAGAATTGTCATGTTGGGATAAACAACAAGGAAATAGAAGAGCTGGTACTAATTCTGGGTATTCTAGTTTTAATATCCATATTTTTATTCAAAATACATTTTTGCCTCCCATGAGAGTAAATTCACTGCTATCAATAGGTGACAAAACATTGTGAAAACTTCTCTCTTGCTTGATATACTAAATATTGTCTCCTGGGTAACTATTCACTGACTTGCTTTTCCACCTGGTCCTAGTTCATGTGAACTCAATGCTTATTCCAGCTTCAGACTTTCAATCTTGTCTTAGACTCCATGGAGGTCATCAAACTGGTTTCTAGTGTCACACCTTCTTCGGAGTTCAGATTTCTATTAAAGAACTTTTCTTCAACTCCCATGTGTTCTTGTGTTGCTGGGGTGGTGTTTGGTTAGTGGGCCACACCCAGAAGTGTGCAGGGCTTATTTTTGACCCTGCTTAGGACTCATTCTTGGCAGGACTGGGGGATTGGATCGGTGCTGCCCAGCCAGCACTCTACACGCTGCATTATCTCTCTAGGCATTACTGCAACCTACTTTTTACCCCTCTCTGTCAGTGTCTTCTGAGAGTGACTCTATACCTTTTTTCCTTCTTTTTTTTTTTAGCTTGTGACACTAAAGTGCTTATTCCATCTTAGAGGGCGGGCATCATGAGTAAGAGAATCCCCAGTTTAAAGGTTCAAGAGTACTCCTTAGAAAGCCCCCTAAGTGATCAAGGGAATACTTTTTTTTGTTTTAATTGGTTCAGATTTTTTTATTGTATCACTGTGAGCTACAGTTACAAAACTTTCATGTTTGAGTTTCATTCATATAATGATCCAACACCCATCCCTCCACCAGTTACATTTTCCACCACTAATGTCCTCAGTATTCCTCCCTCCCATTCCACCTCTCCCCCTACCTCTATGGAAGATAATTTTCCTCTTACACTCTCTACTTATAGGGATTATGGTTTGCAATACAGATAGTGAGAGGCCATCATGTTTGGTTCCTTATCTACTTTCAGCACATGTCTCCCATCTCGAGCGATCACTCCAACCATCATTGTCCCTTCTCTATCTCAGCTGCCTTCTCCCCCAGCCCATGAGACAGGCTTCCAACCATGGAACATTTTTTCTGGCCCTGTTTCTACTGTCTCTGGGTGTTAGTCTCATTATGATATTTTATATTCCACAAGTGAGTGCCTATGCTCTCTTCTTACCCACCTTTAAGCCGAGCTCCAGTTCCCTCAGTGAGCGCTGTATCTCTCTGGTGAGTAGATTCATCCGTTCACACTCCTGGAAGGCTACCACAACATACGGAGTGCGCTCCTCAACTTTGGCCATCAGTTCTGGAATGTTGAACTCATCAGTCACCCGCTCCAGTATTCCTTCTAGGAGGATCTTGACCTGCCCCATAACAGAAAACACAGGTTGAAGTTTGGGCTCTGGTACTAAAGAAGAATTTCATTGCCCTGGAATATGGCTTTAAAGAGCCAATTATCCTTGGTGCTTCCAGAATTGAACCCAGTGTCTTACACAGATAAGGATATAACTCAAACCCTGAGCCTGTTTACTTAGGTCAGGCTTGGTGACCAAATCACAGATATCTGCACAAACTGACCAGTTACCTCTGACACCTTCAATAAACAGAGCTCCCTTTCCAAGAAGAAGAAAATGGAGAATCTCAGAAAGTTAAGCAGTTACTTGTGGAAATTCAACAAGAAAGGTAAAAGATATACTTGATCCTAGAGTATTGGATATTTTGGGCCATGTAAAGCTGAATTATTAAGTACCAGCAATGTACGTATAACTTTTCCCCAAAACCATGATAACTTTTACCATAAAAAATCATCAGCTAAAACAAACATCTCTCTCTGGAAAGTGGAAACCGGGATCAAAATACTGGGTTATTTGGGAGCGATAGCACAGCGGTAGGGCGTTTGCCTTGCATGCAGCCAACATGGCCGACCCGAGTTCGATTCCTCTGCCCCTCTCGGAGAGCCCGGCAAGCTACTGAGAATATCTCACCCGCACGGCAGAGCCTGGCAAGCTCCCCATGACGTATTCAATATGCCAGACACAGTAACAACAAAGTCTCCAATGGAGATGGTTACTGGGCCCGCTCGAGCAAATCAATGAACAACGGGAGGGCCTTTTATTATTTGGGAGCAAGGACTTGGAGGACTTGGAGGCTAAGTTTGCAGATTTTAGTAAAAAAAAAAGAAAAATGAAAAAAGAAAAATGAAACAAGTGCATAATTAAACGTGTAGGAAAAGGGCAGGGGGAGGAAGAAAGTCAGTGACTATGTAAACCATTCCTGTCGTGTGATACTTGTTTTTTTTTTTTTTTAAATATGTTCTAAAATGGTGGTGGTGGGAAATGTACACTGGTGAGGGGATGGGTGTTGTAACATTATATGACTGAACCCCAATCATGAACAAATTTGTAACTTTAATTAAATAAAAAAAATTAAAAAATTGGATTATCCTTTCTTTCCCTTTCTAATATGTCACCATCTCCTTTTGTGCAGATATCTCTTTCTCACTATTTTGGAGTACATTCTCTGGATTCAGACTTCCTGTTTTTCAAATTTGGCCATATTATCTTATTTTGGGGGAATGAAAATTTAAATCTTAAATTTAGGGTTCAGGGATAGAGAGTAACAGGATCTATTGGCAGGATAGAGGTGCCTTAGAAGTACTGCTCCCTCTCTTCTCTCTGGAGCACTAGAGCCTGGGATTCTAGTGATTCTTTAGTTTAATTTATTCGATAACAGCAAGGCAAGCTATTTCTTGCTTTTTTTTCCAGTTAAATTTGTCTTTGTTGTTTGCAAGGGAAGAATCCTGACCAAGTTAATACTGTTTGGCTATACGTTACCCATGTGAATTTAAGTAGTTTAGGTTTCTAAAAGCCTTTAAAGTTGAAGTTTCTAAGAGCATCTTCCTCTGTTATCTACCTCTCCATCATTTCCTAGGGTTGATATGAAAAAGCAAATGAATTGCTTCATGTGGCAACATCTGAAAGCTGCCACCTCATAAAGAAATAAAATACCAATATAAATGTAAAATATTGTTAATGTTTACTTTGACTTGTTCACATAGGGAAAGAGTTGATATTAGAATGTCACTGTCCTCCCGTTGTTCATCGATTTGCTCGAGCGGACCCAGTAACATCTCCATCATGAGACTTGTTACTGTTTGGCATATCGAATACGTCACGGGGAGCTTGCCAGGCTCTGCCGTGCGGGCGAGATACTCTTGTAGCTTGCCGGGCTCTGTGAGAGGGGAGGAGGAATCGAACTCGGGTCGGCCATGTTGGCTGCGTGTAAGGCAAACGTCCTATCCGCTGTGCTATCATTCCAGTCCAACTAAGGGATGTAGTCAGCTTTATTTCCACAAGCAGAAAACCTCTGCTATAAAAAAAAACTCTTTGGGGCTGGAGCAATAGCACAGCAGGTAGGGCGTTTGCCTTGCAAGCGGTCAATCCAGGTTCGATTCCCAGCATCCCATATGGTCCCCTGAGCACCGCCAGGAGTAATTCCTGAGCGCTGAGCCAGGAGTAACCCCTGTGCATTGCCGGTGTGACCCAAAAAGCAAAAAAAAAAAATCTCTTAGGAAGAGGAATAAATGTTTATCATACTCATTTAAACATTAAAGAACTTTGTGATATTAGAAGAAATATTCTCCCACAATTTTGTTTCTTTTACCAAAGAGGAGAAACAATGCTAGTTAGCTATTTTTTGTTATTCTTGCAGGTATTATGCACTGCCCATAGCCACCTCTCTCACCAGCCACCCATCTGTCCACTCATCATGTCTGTTCCGTCACTTTCCTTCTCTCACTCCCTAAAACCTTCCCTATATTTCTACAACTAGTCGAATCATTCTACACTTCACTTCTCCAGCCTTCTTTCTAACCTTATGATAAACCTTAGGCACATTTCCTTGTTAGTGTATAGATTTATCTAGTTTTTAAAACAGTAATTCTATTCTGTTGTTTCGGTGAGTCATAATTTACTGACTCCTTTACTTATAAATAGTTGGTTTATCATTTCTACTACTGCAATGCATAAATATATATTAAATATGTATACTTTTGAGCAATTCCTCTGGTTTAATTAATAAAATAGAATTACGAGTAAACATTATAAACATTGGAGTGTGTGTGGTGCCAGGAATCGAATTGGGTCAATTGCATGAAAACGAAGTGCCATACCTCTTGAATCATCTCTCTGGCCAAACATTTTTTCTGTAATATTTAAACAATAGTTAACCATCTATATACCTGTTGATCTCTCAATGGACTCTTGATTCTATTACATTCATCTGTGAGTTTTTCCTTATTCCAGTGCCACACTATTTTTTTTTTTTATCACTACAGCTTTATTTTGTTTCAAACTACAGTTTGAACTTGGGGAAGGTGAAGCCTCCCATCTTCTTTACCCCTAGGACTGCTTTGACTGTTCATGGGGCCTTATTACTTCATATAAATTTCAACAGTGTTTGATCTATTTCTTTGAAAAATGTTATATTTTTGTAGGGGGCAGAGTCTCCTGCCCCCGTGCCTGGCTGTCCTCGCCGGGGCCCCTTGGCGAGGAGTGGGTTGAGTTTTCCTCCCTGCCCCGACCAGGGCTCCGGCAGCCGAAGACCTCCAGAATCAGCCACCACCATGCTGAGACCACTCTCCATATGCATGAAGGTACCAGCAGAGGAACAAAGGCATGCGGGTCCCGGGGCTGAGATCTCCAAGCCTGCTCGGATCGGGGCTGAGCATCCTCCACCCAGATCCTCCCAATTCCAGTAGGCAGGGGTCACACCCACCAACTGGCCCCCTGGCGCCATGTAATCCCATCAATGGCCCAGACTCAGAGACTATAAAACCCAGCTCCCAGCAGGCTTATTACAAACTGGACAAACTGCTTTGGACAAACTGGCAGGCTACTGAATGTAACCTGCCCACACGGCAGAGTCTGGCAAACTCCCCGTGGCATACCCAATATGCCAAATACCAGAAACAATGATGGGTCTCATTCTCCTAATCCTGCAAGAGCCTTGAATATGGCACTTTTAAAAAAAAATCTCAGGGCTAGGATGAAGGAGACGTTACTGAGGCCTGCTGGAGGCAATCGACGAATAACAGGATGGTCGTGATTGTGATTTTTGTAGGGATTGTGTTGAATCTGTGAAATACCTTGTGTGATATTACCACTTTGACTATGTGAATCTTCTCAGTCCACTAACAGAAGATGTGTTTCCATTTTTGTCATGTCCTCTTTTATTTATTTTAGTGGTGTTTTCTAGTTTTCTTATCAATCTTTCATCTTCTTGTTAAGCTGATTACTTGATTTTCTGGGGCACAGTTGTGAATGGGATTGTTTTTTAGGATTTCTCTCTATTCTACTTAATTATTTACATATAGAAAAACCCATATATTTCTGCATGTTTAATTTGTAGCCCGAGATTTACTACCCAAGCTTTTTGTTTCTAGAAATATTTTTTTTGTGTGAAGTCCTTTGGGGTTCTAAGTAATGTATCATGCCAGCTGCAAAAAATGAGTTTGACTTCTTTTTCAATATAGATTTCTTAATATCCTTTTAATGCCTAATTGCTATGGCAAAAACCTCTGAAACTTTATTGAATAATAGTGGTGAGAGTAAACAACCTGTCTTGTATATGATCTTAGAGGAAAGGCTTTCAGTTTTTCACCGTTGAGTACAATATTTGCTGTGGACTTATGGTATGACTTTGACTACGTTGAGGAGCATTCCTTCAACTCCCATTTTATTGGGAATTATCATGAATGGATTCTGGGTCTTGTCAGTTGATTTGTTTGCATTTATCAGTACGATTAATTTTTATTTTTCTTGTATTGATATGGTATATGACATTGCTGGAGTTGATTTGTTAGACCATCTTGACATCTTGCATTCCACTTGTCATGGTGTGTGATCTTTCTGATGTGTTGTTTGATGCAGTTTGCTAATATTTTGTTGAGGATCTTTACCTTCAACCCACCCTGCCCCCATTTTTGCCAGGCAGATAGATCTATAGTTTTAAATTATTTGTGATATTTTTGTTTGCTCTTGGTATTTGGGTAATGTTTGCCTCATAGAAATTGTTTGGAAATATTTCTTCTTGTTTTCTCTTTTGATTTTTCTGATAGAGCCTGAAAAGAATTGGCAGTGGGTCTTCTTCAAATGACCTACTAGTACTGATTCAAGTGACCAAGAGCAACTCCAGCTTTGTGGCCTGATGATTTAGCATTCAGAGCCCTACAGGGCAGCCCTGCTCAGGTCCAAAGGTGCTGGGGGAATGAAGGCCACTGCTGGTAAAAAAGTAATAATAATAAAATGAAAAGAAAAATGACCTGCTAGTGAATCCATCTAGTTGTGAACTTTTGTTTTTTTCT